TCTTAAAACAATTCCTGCTTTGTTCTAGTAGTCCGGTTGGCCTATAGCTCTCCCAAAAACCATGAGATTCCGTGAGGCACATATCATCGTGTCAATAATGTATCGAGTTTTTAATTAATTATAATTAGTTTATTTGAATGGAAGAACTGCATTGCTAAATTCGGCTGACTGCTTTTGAACTAATCAATGGCTCCTAACGAGGTTTAATGAATATAATAGAATATTGGTTGGAATACTGATTTTGTCCACTGGAATAAGTAAATTCACCTAGAGTGAGCTGAAACTAGTGTTCTTCGTCATAATGTTTCTTTCGCAAAAAGAAAACATTTCACTTAATACGTTCGGTTAAAAATTAACTACTCAACATGCAGTGGAATGTAGATTACGAAGGAATTTGATAAAATGAAGTCAGCAGAAAGAAGAGAAATGTTGACAGCACTCTGAAGCACACACTCACGAATTCCTTTGAACAATCTTTCAAATGATGGTAGCCCATAGTTCTCTCGAAGAGAAGCATGTGGGGAGGATTGGAAGGCATTCAGGTTTTCATTAAATCGAGTAAAATCATGATAGACAACAAAGAAACTCTTGCACACAGTCGTGGTCTAACGAACGAAAAATGAAATAATGATAATGATCACAGAAATAGTTTACATTCATCGATCGTACAGTAATACCCTTAAAAGACTTGTTTAGTTACTATCAGCATACTACAAACCATCTTTATTCGTGAAACAACTTAACAATCAACCACATAAATACGAAACAGTAAGCACTCTACAGATTATATATTTTACGAAATAATCTTTGCAGATTATTCATGTAATTTCGTCCAAATGAAGTACAGCATACTTAGTAATGCACTGTGAACTTGATAGACACTGTGATTGTAAGAATGAAGCAACTTTGTATTCCGTATGAAACACAAAAGTTCAGTCTCTGGAATGTGACAACAAAAGATATTGAGAATCACTGTTTATACGAAACGTGATGTGATGTATAAATATGTGAAAAATGTTACTGCTGAATGAGAGAGCGCTTGAGATTTCGGACTCTTCAGGTGTATGCATAATTGAAGGGGGGAAACAGGTGTTTTGCACCACTTATTGTGGGATTGACCGATTCAATCACTTACAAACTAGGCACTTTGAACCATGTTCCAGTCAGGTGTTCACAGGTGTTAAAGTGATATGAGTAATATGTAAATATATATATATACGTGATAACAAAAGCCAAGGGCCATGTAACACATCGCTCATTGAGGAATTCAACGGTTATTTATAGATTTTAATATACATTATTATTCGTTATTGTTAACAGAGAAACAATGTTTTCTGATTGGTTTTCTTCCTGCTGAAAGTTATTCTGTCATCTCTTTGTGGTCATTCTTTAAACAGTCCGTTGATATATCTGCTAATGGTATCTGCCCACGCTAAATCTGCTGTGATTGGTTGTTGAGTTCCTCAAGGTTAGGTTTTGTTCTTGTTTTTTCTCACGACCGCGATTTGGGACGTAAACAATGACGTAAATTGTTGTCGACAACTTCGTCTTGCAGACAGCTCTCACCATATATATAAATTACATGCATCACTGGAGAAATCAATTTTCTGAATTCCACGAGTTTCACAAAGACGATGTAACTCATGGAATGTAAATAGCACCAGATAATGGCTGTTCAGCAAATTTCTAAAGAAGTCGTATTGCACTATTGGCGTAGGTCTACGGTCTGTCTGATATCGAAACTTATTCCGGTGTTTGAATGATTCTAAATTATAAATATGTACTCAGATGTAGCGACATAACCAGAACGGTGAATGCCATTTGGATCTAAACCTATGCAGATTATGCGTCTGATAGACATTTCGAATAATTCTTCCATGTTACATGTGTCCAGTAGTCCTTATTCAGAGTAAGGAAAACACTTATGGTAACCTGATCAATAAAATGCAATACATCAGACAGAAAGGCAGATGACACGCATCACATGGACATAATACGCTGCTACTTTGTTGAAATGAATCGTATTAACTTTCTTTCTAAACTGGAGTTGATGTCAACAGTGTATGTTGGTAGGCGCATAGGATTCGTCTCAATGAATATTCAGCCGGACTTCTCTCACGTTTAAACAGTTTCGTTGTTGCGGTATACAGAGGGCAGTTGTTGAATTACTTCTGGTGTACGTGTACTACAACTCTTTTCTACCAGAGTGGTTTCAAAAGTGTACACGAATCTTTCTGTTAAACCATTCGATTATATGCTGAAATGGAAGCATCCTAACATGTAATATACCGTTTCTTTAACAAGATTCTTCAAATACGTGTCGTGTAAACTGACTACGATTTCCAGATACAATGTGCTCTGATATGACATAACCAGCAACAAATTTCGTTAGGGACGTTGTGGTGTGACTACAGGTGAGTAGGATAATTGCTAATAACTCAGAATTAGCGTGTACCAGAATTAAGTAGCTGTATAATTCTTGCAGAGGAAAACCAACAAACCGGCTGGAGAAGCAGCCGAAGAAGACAAAACTGCAAGTGAACAAAGTAAGATGGAGGTGACGAAGATAAGAAAATACCACCGGCAACAAAACCAGCACCAATCACCACCGACGGGAGAGATTCGACAGAGATGACTTCCTTCACTTATCTAGGAAGTGCGGTTTCAACCGCATACTGAAAGGATGAATATGTCAACGTCAGAATCAGCAAAGGCGATATACGCATTTATCAGCCTGAACTGAGTTTGAAAATCTGCACTTCAGCAAGCGAAAAGAACAAGATAATGATTTTCAACACAAATGTGAAGTCAGTCAATTCTGCTATACGACTTGGAAACTTGTCCAGCGCCAAATGAAAAGAATTTTCAACAGGTTTGCAGACTTCTATCAACAGCTAGCTGCCTTCACTGTCTCCATGCTGAAGATGAAATAGCAGACCATAAAGAATTAGCAACAGAAAACTGTGAAAACAAGCCAACCAATAGCCGACTGCTCAACAAATATGTACGAGAAAATGGAGATGAATGAACCATACTTTGTGGTTGCCATCAAATGAAATCGCGCGCCGATCATCACTTGAGTGGAATCATACTGTGAAGCAACGAGTGGGTCATCTGAGGGTGACATGGAGGAGATTGCGTGATAAGGAGATCAGAGATTAAGGGCAACTGTGTACCCAGCTGAAGAGGACAGCAACAAATAAAAAGGTAGAGAAGTATTGTTGAAGTCCTCTATTCAACTAGGAAACTAAGGCAATAATAATACCTGGTGTTTCATTCTCTTTTGAATGTTGTTTATATTTTGATTTGACACTAGTAACTAGTGTCACCCAGTGCTGCAGTCAGAGACGTTACCACTGAGCTATTTGGGCCCGCGATTGACCTCCTGTAGGACTGTAGTGGATATTTTGATTTGACACTAGTAACTAGTGTGATGCGTCTAGTCCTCTCTTTGGTGCAGACTGAATTCTGTCAGTCAGGTTGTAATGTGGCCACCATTCTATGTAGCTCTCCATCATGGTGTACATTGTTTGTGATGATATTAGATGGTTGGAGGCGATTGGCAGGAAGGGACATGAGTTCCTTCAAGGTTGCGGATACGCCTTGCTGAAGAGTGCCAACTAGCACAAAACCCAGGTCCAAGGCTTCCTGCCGATTGCCTCCAACCATCTAATATCATCGCAAACCATGTTGTTTATTCTAATCTATTTCAGTTTCACCTGAGCAGCTTTGCGAATCACACTTGACAATGTCATATTTTTTCTATGTTGACCCGTATTGGTAGGCATTCGACTATATACAGTATAGACAATTCACAATGTGAGGTTTGCAGATTAAACGTATTACATCTTAGTGATCGATAGCATATTTTAGAAATATCCTTTGATTGGAATTTTAAGCATGACTTAAACGTTCGCCTGAATAAATCGAAAAATTGATTAAAAAATATCGTTCGGTATCCGCTAAAAGAAATTCAGTGTCTTTTATTCACTGGATTTAGTTTAGTTCGGAAAGTCAGATATATGAGAAACACAAATAACTTCCTCGATTTGAAGTTATCTTTGTACTTCGTAAGCATTTGAGCCATCGATAGAATATATTCCGTTTGAAAATATTCACCAATAGTTAAACTATGATGTTGTGGTCCATTTCAACGTTTCACTTTAATGCAAATAAACATTTCATGAAAATCGTTGAGATTCTAATCGGAATTTGATCACTGGTATACTCAATATTGATTTCGACAACCATAAACAAAGTCAACATATGTATATACATATATATGCAAAACAATCTAAATCATTTCTAAGGCACATACATCTGAAGATACACATTGCTTCAGGTGAGTGACTTATTGTCGTGTCCTCTCTGCTTGTTATGTTTGAATCAATTGATTCTTGAGTTTACTTGAGTATGGCTGAATAGATGGTATCGATTGTAGTCTAATTTCGATAACAGATGACAGGCTTTATTCCCTTTAAGACAAGGACCAACATCTTATTTATACGTATCGACTATTTCCAAAATCTGAATAAACTCATTCTTAAGGGAAATGCATTGAGTTGTGCCAGTTTCTCATGATTACTTTCGTCTTTTCAAAATATAATTGAAGTTGTACTCAGGTTTCACAATCTACTGAAGCACATTCCTGTCAGAATTGACAATTAGGTGTAAATGACGAGTTTTATTCGTACACTGTTTCAATGTTTTGAAAAGTGTAATATCGGAAACAATGATCATAATCATTCACTTAAGAATAATACTGTTTTCAATATTTTAAAAGTTTAACATTACCAGCCTTATGTTCGACACCTACACTCGCACATTGTTGAACGCTTTTTATTCTGTTGTCACATTTAGTTCTATTTACAGATTTCAATTTAATCAAGAATGAAGGGTTTCGTTGCATCTTTTGTGAGTTCAAAAATAAGGAGTCATGAAATACAAAAACCTTTTCCCAGATTCTATATTTCGGTAAGAACTTGTTAAATAAGAGATTTTATTCTCAGTTAATAGTCAATATGGTGCTCTTGATACTGATGACAGTGAGTTTGGTCGTCTTGTTTGTGCTTGTGTAAGGTTGAGTTAAAGAAAAGAATAAAATCGTATCTTGCTTTGCAGGAAAAGTATTCCAGAGTTTTTAAAGAAACATTTCTACTTGGTCTTAACCATAATGTAAGTTATCTATTGAACCTTTTTAATTTTAATTCAAATTAACTATTGTTGAAAAAGATGAGGAGTGTCATTCATTTATAAGCCACTAACTCACAAGATTTATCATTCACCTACAACTCAAAAAAATCTTTACAGGTATACAATTTTTCCATTGAACTCACCTCAACTAGTGTTAAGTGAAATGAGGATGAGTATCATGAACCTTATATGTTAGGCTTTCAGTTTTATTTTGAAATCTGCCTGCGCATATGCTACCGTAACAGATATCTGTGGAAAGCACATTTATCTCAACCATCAGAGAGCTTGATTTCGCATAAATATGCATGTTTATAATTGGTAAATACAGAAAAGTAGTCCACAACAAACTTCTTCATATCTTTATGCTGAAACCATAGTCAGCACGTGTGAAGGAAACAGTGTATCATTGCGTTATGTTTTCAATACAAAATCGGTACTGCGCTCTGTCACAATGATCAAATTAGACTGTTAGATCTGTCTTCGTAACCAAGGACTGATCTTATAAACCATCGTTCAAGTGTAGAGTATTCCATTAACCAAGTAGGGGAGATTTCAATATGATGACTGCTTTTGATATTATCACGTAATGAATCATTTCAATTATGTGCTGGTTAGGATGAATATGTGATGTTTGTGAATTCATTTCAGGTCTGTCGTCACCATTCTATTTCTTGTATTTGCATCCATGATGAACATTCAGTGGAATAATGTCACCGTTTGTATAGTGCTTTGGATTATCGTAAGTATCAGTATTACATTACGCTTTTTGATACCATGAGAATTGGTTTAAGTTTTTGTATGGAAAATGAAATGATGACAGTGTCATCTCAAAAATGTCTATGACAGTGGTTATCTTGTCAATGAGATTGATTTTACAGTTTCTGATACATACCATTTCTATCTTCACAGCAGCCATAACAATAACTGCTCTGTCTTATTAACAAATGCTATGAGAAAAAATATGACATTTTAAGGGGAACCATCTCTCTAAACATTTGTGAATTCTTAAAGTAATAAAAATGATGCAACCATAATAAACACTAGTTCAAATGCACGTATGACTTCCACATTTACAATTGGAATCAATGTTTAACGACACACGATGTACTGAAGAAGTTTGATAGGGGAACATGTGCAGTTGAAACACCATAATCACCAGTCTGCAGAAAATAAAAGTTGACATTCTCTGACCATGATGCACTGAAACCACTTTCATACACGTGGTTCGCTTAAACGGCTGATAAACTCGTCTGCTCAATTCAGATTCTAACCACACTCGGCTTCATTCCAATTAGTCATATATTCATGAGGTTATTTAATATTCGCGTTGTTATTTCATCCAGATGCACCGAAATGGTTATTCAAGCACCTTTTACCTCCAATATAATATGGTTACTGATAATGATTACAGTACTAAATTCCACAGCATGGTGAATCTTATGCTTCACTTTGCTTTCACTTCATAAATAGTATTTACACACAAGTGAGGAATATCTCACGAATGCTGTCAAACACGTAAACTGCTTTCGTGTGAAACGACTTGTTATTTTTTTGATTTTTTCTTGACTACGATAATAATAGCGACTATCTATCATAATGAAAGTAGGAAATATTGCTTCAGAAGGTTGCCTTATTTGCTTAATAAGTTTTCATTTATCACACATTAATTCCTAATTAGTATTATTCTTAATTTCTTTTTGAAGGCCATTCTGACATCTGCTGTTTTCGCCACTTTGGTCGCATTTATTGAATGGAAATGTGCTCTAATATCATTGGCTGTAACGACTGTGACTACAGTGATGGTTATCTTGTTGGCTTTCAACCTGCCGCCATTGAATACAAAGGGGTTCATCTTCTTCGGTACTATATCAGGCCTCCTTACAGTTTTAGATATCGTTGCAGACATTTGGAATTTATTGACCGGAGGAAAAATTACTGTAAATCACACCAATTTAAGTTGTAAATAATTGCACATAATGTTTATGGAATAGCTTAAAATGCTCACATCATTCTGAAATATTCTGCTACCTACCTGAGATTTACATCGTAATAATGATAAATGCAGTGGATAGTGAAATACCAGCTGAACAAAACAAATCAGATATGTAGGCTGCTCACTTTACTGAGATCCGAGTTCGCTGCGACATATATGAATTTTGACTAACTCATTTCGTTGGGAATTATTAAGCTTATTCATCAAACTCACACGTTTGTCCTCAGTCTAATTAACTAACCCTTCTCTGAGGGTTAGTGATAGGAAGCAGGTTGACAGAAGTGTTGAGTTACTTTTGTGCAATATTGTGACAGACGATCATATACTTCCCATTCACCCATAAAACTACTGGCATTTTGATCTGCGCTATCGGGTATGTAACACTAGCATTTCCTATTTAATTTCATATTTGGCATCTAATATGGATAAAAATTCCCCATCACTGTATCGAACAAATGTTTTAGCATATTTCGACAAATATTTTTGGCTACATCTTAGCATTCATTATTTTGTTAAATATTTCAATATGGGAATTCGTAAACAATAACAAAACTTTTTTTTCTATTTTCGTGAATTTGTCATTTTTTACTGCATTTCTCAAACTCAGGTACTCTGCATACTGAGAGCAGTTTCAGTCGCATTAGTTATACTCACCGTAAGTTTTTGATTTATTCGGTGTGTACAATAAAATTACTCTTGCAATTAAATCACGAACAGAATATCAGGTGATTGGTGGTGGTAGAAGGGCAGCGAAAATCATTCATTTTACCTGTCTTGATGTGTTCATATTATCTAAATTGACACTTTGACGCAAAAGAAGTTGTTAAAAGCTGATTCAAACTGTATTTGACGTTAAAATCCCACTCAGAGAATTGTTGAACCTATTGTGGAATTTGTAGACTTGAATTCTGAAAAAAATTCGGGCCGGTGTAATCCAGAGTATATATGAAGGATAGCCACTAATTGTTATTAGTTTTGAATGATTTTCGTGAACGTAATCAGACCATGAGTAAATAGAGTTTAGGCCATTACAAAATGTTTCTAAATCAATACTAGATTTATTTCATGTTGACTTCTATCAGCTGTGATCCCTGCAATTGATGCAAAGTGTAAAAATATGCTGATATGCAAATTTCAATAAGAATTACACTAATTATTATTACATGTTTTTTATTGTAGCTTGATTCCACACCATATTTTGGTACAAGTATGGAATTTTCAGCATGTTATGTGGGTGGCCAGAACTATGCAGTCCGGCTATAGATATCAGATTTGAGTCGGCAGGGCGTCGAACCCCGACAATGTGCATGGCCGGCGAGCATCCTAACCGCTATGCCACATTTGAAAATTTATTGCGATACAGTTGAATGGCGATGCGGAAGCTTTGTCAAATAGTTAGACATTCAGCCAAACTGGCCACCTAATTTCGCTTCCTTATCTGATAATCACATGCGTTCTCTTACCTCAGCAGGAATATGGACACAGTAGATCTAAACAGAAATCCTTTTGCAGTATGTGTGAGCTGTATTCGTAGTATCCCGAAATGAGATGGGCTTGAGGATTTTAGCCGATATCGGTCAGAGTCATTTACGATACAGTGACTGGTGTAATGTTGATTTTTTTGAAGCGCGTTTGGTGAATACATGTCAAACAGATTAAATGACAAAAGACAACACTAACTAACCAAAATCTGATAATCTGTCCAATTGACCAACACACTGTGCGCATGTACATTCATTTCGAGATGCATACGAAAAGTGTGAATTATTCAAAGAATCATTCGTCTCTAACTATAGTCTATGTTAACTGACTCTATCGTCGAAGAAAATTTGATAATGAATTCGTAGAATATTTCATCAGTAGTTGAGTAGTGTAGACTGAGTCCGACAGAATTCATCTAATTGGTATTTTGTGATCAGAACAATTAACTGTAGTTTCATTATGGAATGTGAATTTTGGCAATAAAAGTGCTTATTAATGGTAGTCTTTTATCACCGAAAGCTTATTGTTGCTTTACATTTTAGGTGATGTTTATTTGTGTCGATATCGGAGGATGGATAATGAGGTGGCTTCCACCCTACAACACAGAACTTTTTCTTGGCTTCATCATTTGGTTTCTAATGGTAAACCTCTTCACACAAACATACGACAGTTTAAAATCATGTGGATTCAAGCTGTGTGCAGTTGAAGACAACAAACAGTTACTTGTGGGATGATTTCTGGATTATTTTTGTTGAACATTCATTCAGATAACGTATAGAAGTTTCCAATTATTCACAACGTAGTATGTTGTTGATCATATCTGCGTTTACGTCTTCTATGTTCTGCAAAACTGCAAACTCCATAAACTCTAAATGTACAAATGCAACAAAACTGCTTATATTTCTGATTGTTTTACAGACGTTTTATATGCTACATTGATGTGTGATACAAAATTTCTCCATAAAACACAACCAAAATTTCAAATCTGATTTGTTTCTTAGCAGAACATATGTGCACCTAATTTGTTGAGGTGGTTTTATGGTAGAAAATCATTCGATTGTCAGACTAAGATGCTTGAGGATTTATTGAAGATCCTATTCGATGGACATGAAGGAAGGAAGGAGGTCAACACTGAGACATGGTGCATGCAATTTCTTGAAGAGGAACACCTTGGAGTGGTGTTCTTCAGTTAAACACTTGAAGACGTTATTGACACATTCAGAAGTCTGTCCAAAATAGGAGGACCCATCTCCTGATACCATTGCTTGGTCTAAAAATATCAGTCAAATGAATGAGTTGCAAGTGAGATTACTGTTTCTTTTCACGTTCCTATGTCTCCTCTTATATGCAAGGGCAGTTTCACTAATGAAGCTAGAGATATGGAATTGTATTCAGCGTCCCAATGCTAACGGATGATGAGCTTATGAAATCATTTGTGATTTCAAAAATGATGGACAAGGAGTGCTCCTCAGGTGGACAGTTCACTAAACTAGGTGTTATGATGACCAATCCCACATTAACGTTTAGAGTTCGACACAATATGAGTTATGATGAAAAAACACTATCAGTCTTGAGGCTTGTTCTCAGTGATTACTGTCTTATTAATCAAAAAATATTTTCAGCTGGATGCAAGTAATGAAATGAAGGTCGATGACACAGGTTGGCGGATTGAGACTTAGTCAGAGGAAAGATTGGAAACACATTTTACTTCATAAATTTTGAGTTTACATCAATATCACAGTTGTAATCCTGTACTCTGAAGCGAGTGCAGTGAAGTAATTTTTTTCTTTTAGGTAATTATCTCAATGCGATGAATATGTTCACTAGGAGACAGTTAATCTAGTTGACTGCAGAAATATAAGGTCACTTCTCATTCCATGATTTTAGTCTAAACGGACAATCGTGTCAAGTTGTACTGTAGAAGTGAACTGGAATTAGTTACAAATATTCAAATGTAATTTGATCACATGACTTTTCTGTTTCCCCACTGACCATAATAATGTTTGTCTCGTGAATGGCACACTGAATCAACGATTATTTTTGGAATTCAACACTTTTTATCCTTTACTTGAACTCAAGTAAGAAGGCTGAGATGAGTGCAGGATTCAAATAACGATATGACATTGAACATTCATGAATCCGATTTCATTGCTCGTTTCACGTCACCATTTACACTTTACTGCTGTCTTCTGAAACACACAAAGGCGTTTATATATTTTGAAGTAATGAGTTGGTATCTGGCGACACAGTCGTTGTTAACATTCGATGTAAATGGGAGTAGACATCAAAGTGGCATGTGATATTTTTCTATCATGAGGAGGTGGATTTGATGAAACGTCTTCTACAAAAAAAAACCAACTTTGCAATGGGTGGCTGATTATTGTCAACAGTTCAGATAAAAACAAGCGAAGTCTCATCCATTCTATTCGATAAAACTTCAAAACTTTAAATTTTCGAAAACGGGGACAATTCTCAAGTTTATCTTTACCTCTTTTCTGATAAGTAGACACTAATAAAACGGTACATCATTTTGTGTTCTTCCTTTAGCGTTTGACATATGAGTGATTAAATGTTGTCACGCACTCTTTTTTTTCGAGACAACCGATTGTAAGTATCAAAGCTATTGACAAACAATTGGTTAATTGCTACTTTATGTGGAATTATTTTCGTGGTAAACTATCAAAACCATCTTCCGAATATTTTTGGATACATCTAATTTTGAATTCACAGAAGCGTACCTGGAAATTATTTTGAAAGAATACTTAGAAAAGTGCAAACGTATACAGATATACAAAAACACCTACACTCACACACTTCATGTCCACCAAATTATTCGAGATTAACAGAATACATATCACCTTACCGTTACACTTAGGCTGACAGAATTCAGTAACGTTATTTAATAAGTGATAAGCAAAGTAACTACACTAATTGTATGAATAAAACAAATCTGTGTTCCATAGCGAAGGCAAGAGTTTATTCTGTGTAATTTTTACAACAAACCATCTCTCGAATCACTGCTTATACTAAGCATGATATGGTGTAAAATTATCCAAGAAATGTTACCGTTAAGTTTGACAGGTGCGGAAAGCTTTCGCATTTCTCTTAGGGACACCTCAAGAGTATGCATAGGTGGAGCAAATAAGTAGGTGTGTTGAGCCACCTATTGTTCCGTAGATAATAGCCATATGGGATCAAATATAGCTTAGATTCGTGGAATCACTCCCCAACTGGTTACTTCAAAGCAGGTTTGTATAAGATATTGAGAGGTGAAAAATTAATTATGGCCACATAATACAGAATTCATCATCGCGTGCACTCCTACAGTAACCAATTTTCGAAATCTCACACGTGCGACAGCAAAAATGAAAACAGAACGTGGAAATAGCGCCAGACAATGATGGTTCACAATTGGGAAATGTAGAAATGTGATGTTTCGTTATTCGAGTACGCCTAGGGCCTGTCTGTTACACTATATTATTCTGATGACTTCAAGATCTCTAAATCATGCAAATGTATTCATATGTAGCGAAGTGTACATCCCAACACAATCGAGATGGTGAATCCAAATCGAACATGTAAGTGTGCATATAGTAAATCTGAAAGAGAGTGCAAAGAATTTCTCAGTGTTCCATATGTGCAGTAGAAGTTATCTAACATGAATCACCTGAAGAAGACAAAGGGACTTATAAAATTCTGTAGTGGATAGACAGGCAGACGAGATACATAACAGTCACGTTGCAACAGAAAACAAATAAATCGAATACTCATTGATACCTTACATACGCAGGTACACCCAAGTGAATAAGCTAGTCAAAAAATATATGTACGATAATACAATCCTTAACCTTTCAAAACGGTAAATACCCTTTGAAAAATGTAATAACTTCCTGCAGCCCTTTATTAGAGTCACATATCGTGGTCATCAAATTGATGGTGTTTCAACATTTGGATCCGTGAATTTTCCATCATCAAACATGCCATTACAGTGCGCAAAACGCCTATGCATATGCGAATAACTGGGACCAATAACAATGAATTTTCCAGTTAACCAGATGCTCATACAAAACTCAGATTCTCAAGGTAACGAATATTTTAACCAACATAGGCTACTGAAATTCGCCTAAAACAACCACTACTATATGTGCA